AGGGGCTGGATGTGGCCGGCGCGCTCGGCTGGCTCCGGCGGATTGGGCGGCGAGGGGAAAGGGAAAGGGGAAAAGCGTGCGGGGCGAAGTGGTCGGGGGCGGCGACGGGTTGTTAAATAGGGTGGGCGGAGGCGTTTGGTTTTGGTTTTGGTGAAGGAAGGAAAGGGGAGCGGGGGCGAGGGATTCGAATCTGCGTGGGGAGGATTCGTCCGGCCGTGCTCGCGGTTGGTTCGGTTGCTTAGGGGCGGGGCCACTGGCGGTCTGGGGGGTGACGTGCCGCTCGCGGATTGGGTTATCGGTGCTGGCGCGCTCTGGTGGTCTCTCTGGTCGGCGGCTCGGCGCGGCGCAGCCCTGGCGTGCGCAAAAGCGTGATCCCCATTAAATAAATGATGAGCAAAATCTTGTGTCGTACGTGACCGTCCACGAAAAAGCCATCGCTTGATGCAACCGCGTCATCTTTTTTTGTTCCAAAAGGAAAGAGTGCGACCGCGTTATTTGGTTTATAGATTATTCACTAAAAATGCAAGAGCATCTAACAATCGGGACTTGACAAATCCGGCACCTCAAACACCCGCATTGACCGGGCAACTTTCAAATACTGTCGCCCATATCCGTGTATCTCATATTCGGTCCCTCATATCCATACTAGCATGCAACGTAGATAAAAAATAATAATAGATAATCACACAAACATGGAATCGGACAGGGCAATGCACATTCTGAGCACCAAAAGATCACCAACGGATGTCCAAAAGATCGTCAAAGTTCACATAAACCACAGAAAAATTTAAACTACATTACTAAAAACTAGGAACTGAAGACGGAGACGGCAGAGATTCACCACTTCCATCCAGTGGCGAATCTAGGATGACAGTAAAGGGTAGGCTCAAAACATCAAGTTCCTAAGCCTAATTAGCAATTGCATTGTGATTCTTGCTTGTAAAGCACCTAGATATAATTATTTGGGAGTACTTAGAACTCATCTAGATGAGATATAATTTGGTCTCATTCACTTTGAAAACAAGAACAAATACAACCCACGTCAGCACATACGCATCTTATAGCATCACATACAATGGCTATAAAAGGTGAATGAGACCAAATTATATCTCATCTAGATGAGTTCTAGCAAAACTGTAATTATTTTGTGGTATGGTTGGCTGAAATATGATTTGCGGAGGGTAGGCTTAAGCCTGATGAAGCCCACCTAGTGGACTCGCCACTGCTTCCATCCTTTTTCCCTTTCGGTCACCGGCGCAGCTATAAGCGTCGGCGGCTGGTGGCGGATCATCGGAGTCGGAGAGGATGACGAGCCCATTTACGCTTTAGCTTCGCGAGCCGAGTCGCCTCACGCTTAAACTACTCAATGGCAATCCAGAGCGCCTTGACGTTCTTTCGGCGGAGCGGCCGCGCGTCCATCTACGCGGTCATAACCGACCGGCGGTAGGCCCATTCAAGGAGCCACACGTCCTCGTTAGGCTCCGCCTGCATCCCGCGGCGGCGGCGGCGCACAGACTGCTCCGCCTCCTTCCTCTCCCTTTCTCGCTGCCACTCGCGGCGGGCGCCGCGCACCTCTGATTCCAGCGTGCGAGTCCGTGCCAGCGGGGAGGGCAGAAGTACCCACTACTGCCTGCGAGGGGGAGCAACAGCCGGCTGGGGCAGGGACTGACGTAGGGGAGGCGCAGATTGCGCAGGCCGCCTGTCGGAGCTGCGCCCGGGACGGGAGGGGCCAGCGTCGGCGTCCGAGCTGCGACAACGGCGAGGCTGCAGATCCGGAGATGCCCCCAGTCTCCACATTGGATCGCTCCAAGGCGATGCGAAGGGCAAGCTCATAGTCCGGATCCAGCTCGGAGTCGGAGCGACTGCCGGAACTCGACATTGCGCCGGATTCGATCAGAATCACTACGGGGAGATGAGAGGACAGAGCGAGAGAGAAGAGTGAGTGAGCTAGGGTTTCGAAGCGATGAGTCGGATGGGGTTTTTTGTGGGACATCCGTGGGGTTGGTGGTGGGACGGCCTTGTTAGGCGGATGCGCCGGGCCACCCCATATCCGTCCAATATTTGGGTTGGATATGAGGAATGTCGGTCAGCCCGCACGTTTAAGGCTTTCCTCTCGGTCAAAAAAATCGTGGCCGGGCGGGCGGCCCGGGCGTTTGAGGCCGGTTTGGGCGCCCGGCTGTAGATGCTCTAAGAGCGTCTAGATTACTAAAATAGTAGTAATCTAAACCAAGGAAGCACTTATTATTTATTTACGAACGAAACACTTATTATTATTTTTCTTAATTAAAGAACACAACCCACACGCTCACAAATAGGGACTGAGTCAAGATTTTTTTTTTTTGAGGGGCTGAGCCAGGATTTGGACAACACAAAAACACAAGACAAACAATGAATTGAATGTTTTTCACAGTTTATTAAGATCGTAAGCCAGGATTATTATTTCTCTTCCTTTTTTGGTACTAGTACTCGGCCTTCTATTTTTCTCACGGGTCAGCGGAGGTGCCGGTTGACGTTGGTCGCCTGCGTGGGTGTGGAGGTTTTGCCGCTCCGGTCAAAAGCTTGGCCGGCTGCGGTGGCACCCGTGGATGTTGCTATCTTTCTTGAAGGCGTCGTCAAGGAGTGTGGTGATCTCTCCACTCTCGTTTCAAGATCTTTGGGCGA